AAGATCACCATATAAAAAGGCAGTCTTCACGTCAAACTGACGCAATTCCAGATTTTTAACGGAAGCCGTACTTAGCACAGATCTAATGGTGTCATAACGTGCCACAGGACTAAACAGTTCATTATAGTCAATTCCTTCACGTTGTGCATATCCCTTGGCTACTAGTCGAGCTTTGTATTTTTCATGAGAACCATCAGAATTAGGTTTGGTTCGAAGTACCCAACGACATCCCAGGACACGAGCTCCTTCTGGTTTATCCACCAAAATCCAAGTTTTATTTTCATGAATAGATTTTATTTCATCGTCCATAGCAGCCTTCCAGTCAGATGCATCATCCAACACCATTGCTTCCTTGTAAGACCTTGGAAACATCTGTGTTTCTGATTGAACCAGCATCAGATCAAAATTTCCACTGCTCATCCAACTTGGTACATTTTTCACTCGTTTTCCTTGTCGCAACACATCTTTTGTGGTTTCATTTTTAGACAATACAACACACTCGTCTTGCTCACCTCCATCCAAAACAATAGGAGTTGCCACTTCATCAGTTTCCAATTCCGTGATTTCATTTTGAGACAATACATCACACTGCTCACCTCCCTCCAAAACAATAGGAGGTGCCGCTTTGTCAGTTTCCACTTCTGTTGTTTTTGAAGTGATGTCAAAATGAACTACATCGCTCGAAAATGGCTCATTATCAGGAACAGTACTTCCTTGGAATATCTCAGGTTCGAAGATAACATCATGGCTTATAACAGTTTGCCGTTTGCTTGGTACATACACTCTGTATCCATCTCTCAAACCATGATACCCAACAAAGATTCCGTCAATGCTTTTAGCATCCCACTTTTTCCGCTTTTGCTTCGGCTGATGTACAAAGCAGTTAGTTCCAAATACTCTGAGGTGTTGCAGACCTGGAACACTCTTACCCGACCACAATTGCAGTGGTGATTTGCCTTCTACAGGACTTGGTCCTGTAAGATTAAGGAGGTAAACTGCAGTATTACAAGCCTCAGCCCAAAGAAACTTCGGTAAGACTTTCCTCTGAAGCATAGAACGAGCAGACTCCACAATCGTTCGATTGTCCCTCTCAACAGAACCATTCTGTTCAGGGCAGTAGGGAGAAGTTGTACGTATCTTAATGCCATACTCCTGAATGATTCTCGTAGTTTCCTTTGATAGGAATTCAGACCCGTTATCAAACAACATTTCTTTTATGATCTTTCCACCTTGTTTTGCTTCTGCAAGAAAGATGCGCATACAATCAGCTACTTCACTTTTATTCTTTATGAAAAATACTTGGCGATACTTACTGTAGTAGTCTTTAAACAATACAAAATAGCGGTTACCTCCAAGAGAAGTGACCTCCATAGGTCCGCAGACATCTGTACTGATCAGTTCACCAACCACCTCAGGACAAGTTGGACGAGAATGAAATGGACCACGATGAGATTTACCAAGAACACATCCATTACACAGACCCATGTCTCCAGTCACATTAATTCCATTCATCTTCAAAACTTGTTTAATATGGCGTTGATTCTGATGACCTAGCCGTTCGTGCCATAGCTGTAAAGAATCTTTCTTACATGCAAGTTGTACAGTGGGTTGTATAGGACAAATAGCACGCATGTTAAGAAAATATAAATCCCCATGCAAACGTCCAGTCAATGTAACAATACCATTTAGGGTAAATTTACATCCAAGATTGTCAGCAGAAAACACATGGTTCTTCTTCGCTGCCTTGCTGACTGACAACAGATGAGCTCTAGAATTAGGTACATACAAAACGTTTTCTACAGTCATTTGAATTAGCTCCTTACCAACTTTAGTTTTAACAACAATGATCCCAGATCCCTCGGCATAACACTTTTTATCAGAAGCATTATCACTGAAGCCAGACATAAGTTGTGGTTCTGAAAATTGTGAATACTCTGTAAAATAATCTTTACACCACGTTACATGATGAGTAGCACCACAATCCGCAATCCAAACGTCCCGATTTGCAAAAGTTAACTCATTACCACTCATAAAACTATGTTTTGCAGACACATCCTTCTTGTTATCAGATGTAGATCCCGTAGACTTCTTTTTAAGTGGACAATCAGGAACCTTATGCCCTTTTTGTTTACACTTAAAACAAAATATATTAGTAACCTGCTTTTGATTCTGATTACTCTGCCCTTGTTTTTCTGTTTTAACCCTTGTACCCATGGGTTTTGAAACATATAAAGCAGTTTTAAGTAACTCCACGTTATCACGCTGCTCTATAGTGCGAAGCTTTTCAACTAGTGTTTTAATTGTTCTATCCTTAGATGCCATAGCTTCCCATACATTTCTGAATTCACGAAAGCTTGGCCCCAAAGTAGATAAAATTCTTGCAATTAAAACTCTATCACTAAGCTTTGATTCCTTTTGTTTCTCAAGCGCATCATTTAATTCGGCAAAATGTTTTTGAAGCTTTGCAACATGGGTAGCTATGTCCTCATTAGGATCCCGATCCCACCTAAAAAACTCTTCTAGCAAACGATCTAGCCTTTGTTCACTAGACTGTTCATACACAGATATTAAACAATCCCAAACTTCTTTAGAAGTCGAGCAAGTCAAAACCAGTGTAGATGGTTCATCGCCTAGAGATGACATAAGGTATAACATAGCAGAAGCATCTTTTCTGTCCCAATCTGCAATAGCATTTTGCTCAGATCCAGAGATGTTAGTAATAGGTCTGACTTCAGATCCCATTATGAAACTCAACAAGCCTTGTTGTCTTAACAACAACTGGATAAGCATCTTCCATTTAGTCCAATTACTTGCACCCAAAAGCTTCTCTATACATATCTTTTCATTAGCATTTGCCATAATGTCTAACCAATTTTAGATACGTACTTGTCCAAGGCATTCTTTCTCTTGATTACTTATAAGAATAAACTTTTAAATTAATGAGAAACAAAATATATTAAAGAAAGGAATTCACACTTTTATTTTTTGATCACACAAACATAAACATGAACACAGCTTAATATAAAAAGTAAAACATATGATCTTGAGACAATGTACATTTAAACAGTACATAAGCAAAATTGTCAATGTTCCAATAAGTGGGCCTGTGAAAGGGTAGTGACGGCCATTATCAACACCCCAAGCACTGATGGGTGGGAAGGGGAAATGTTTGTTTGGTGATTGATATATCATCTCAAGTGTCAAAACATTGTCTTTAGTTGATGTTCATTATCTGACAAGTTTTATGTCATTTGTTTATGTTGTAGTAGGTAATGTAAATAAATGTGACAATGTTTGATTAAAACACAAGTAGGGGACCGATCTCGCTCGAGGTGTTTGATTTGTTCAAGAGGTAAAAAATAGAGCTTATAAGCCTACAAATATTTTCAGTCTTACTACGATTAATTAAGTAGTAAAGTCAATTCGTTTTTGTTAGACATCTTTTATCCTCTATTTAGTCTACAAAACTTTTTAATTTGGACGATCAATCTATAAAATGTCCTCAATAAGCTTCAATCAATATAAAACTCATGATACATAACATCTGTTATCTGACGACCGTTATTGCATTAAGTCACTGGGATCGTGGAACGTTGCAACTATAATTACGGGATGGTGTAATAACGCATCAATTCGTGCGGTGCATCGTCGAAAAATACAAATCTCCTTGGCCTTTCCTTTAGATTTTTAGTTCAATGTCAGTGTATATTGTTTTGCAGTAAAACACTTAATGTTTTTGAACAGTCGTAATTATCCCTTTGGTTAGTAAGACATCATACAATGCAAATGTATTATACAAGCAATTTTCAATAGCATTGAAATTGGAGGAAATCGTAGGAGCCATTTTTTAAATCATCTTGCGCAATCTTTACTCATATTATAGTATATATTAGTAACCAAGATGTGACATAAAAAAATACTTTAAAACAACTGCCCAGTGAACAACTAAATTTCTACTAAAACTGACTTTATTTTCTATCAGTTAGTTTTTCAACTAACTAATAACTTCTATCAGTTACTTTTTAAACTAACTAACTTATAACTTCTATCAGTTACTTTTTACGGGACTAACTTATAACTTCTAACTAGTTAGAATTTTTGACTAACTTTCCCAACTTCTACTAGAAGTAAAAATGTTTTGTTTACAACAAAAGGAAATAGTGATTTGGTATATATTGGAGTAGCTGTACCCGTGGGCTTTGCCCCGTTTAACTTCTTAATTTTCAAAATGAGCTTGTTCGCATGGCTCAATCACGTCCTGGTTGAAGTTTGTTCGCTACGCTCACTCACCTCTAAGTTGGAGCTCGTTTGCTGTGCTCACTTGCCTTCAGGTTAGCTCGTTCGCTACGCTAACTCGCCTCCAGGTTTAAGTTCGTTCGCTACGCTCACTCACCTTTTGGTTGCAAATTAGCTGTTGTCATAAATAAAAAATAAAAAAATAGTGCTGCACCCTGTTGGTAATCCTTGTAACTTTAATGCTATTGATCATCATAGAACAGAACCAACTTGTTTAATTGAAACAGCTGATAAGATTCATTAATTCCTTTTAAACATGAAAAATCATAAGGTTAACATGGGAAACTCCAGAGCCACTGGGGCGAAGCCCGAGAGTCCGATCAGAATAAAAACAACTTAGTTTTCCTATTATTTCAGCCTCCTAGGTAAATGGGAAGTGGGAGAATTACTAGTGATGAGTGAGTGAGTGAGTGTGTCAGTGAGGGCTTTGCCTTTTATAAGTATAGATATTTGTTGAATTGAACCAAACTAAGGCTCAATCAACAGTAAGAATGGAATAACAGGAATAGGATTATTTTAAACATGCTTGACGTATAGGGACATCGTTAATGTGCTCCTGATATTGGCCTGCTGCTACCGTACTAAAAATATTAAGTTTCAACTTTAATTTTGTAAAAAAACTATATTTGCTCTAGGATTCATACAATGTAATTTTTTTAAAGTTTTGAAACAAAAATTAGGAGACAACAAAACATTTGTCTTACCATTGACGCAAGATTTTAAGAACTGAAGAAAAAATGCCATGATTGACTCTGCCCCTTCAGCCCCATACCGTTTGAGAGAGACAAACTTCTTCGCCATGAAATGGTCAAAAGCTTGACATTTCAGCATCTCTAGGGCCACAACTCTTTCAAAATCTTTGTTTACTGGTTCATTTGTTAATTCTTCTAAGCGGCTGGCAAACCACTCCTTTTCTTCTTCCTCCTGTGGAAATGAATAAACTTTTTAGATATTTATGTTAGTGATTTCATTACACTTAACTTTCTGGTTGTTAAGTCCATAAGGTACATACATATATACATACATACATGGTTCCTCTTTTATAGATATTAATATTATTAATAATTATACACAGTTTAGACTTTAAAATATTTTTCAGCCAAATTGTATTAACATTGATCACTTTTGGCACAAAAACATTATACTGTAGTTAGGAATTGTTACATGCTCAAAATAAACACTGAGTATCAAACCTAACATTATATTTAATGTAAAGAAATCCCCCCCCCCCCTATAATGTGATTGCAGTTACATTATATACAGTTAGTCAAATGGTTCTTATGTCTGAGAATTCAATATAGTAGTAGAGTCACGCTATTCCGAACTAACTGGGACCGAACCCTGCTCAGATTAGCAAGGATTCGGGATAAGCTGATTTATTTAATGATGACAATTATCAACCTATCAATGGAGAAAATGTTGCGATGGTGATTGTCATTTGTGTAGAAACGACTATGTCATTTGTGTAGAAGCGGCTGTGAAAGATTTTAGCAATATAGCTGTAATTACGAGAGATGATGATAATATTGCTGCAGTATTAAAGAACATAAAAAAAAAAACTTCCCTATTCGTCATGGACTCATAACTACATTTACCGAAGTTTGTGGTATCATTACTAGATTCTCCACCATTTGCTGCAACAATAAAAATTTTACCAAAATTCATAATGTCCCTGAATTGTCACCGTTCTTGGAGACACATTGCCAACTTTTTGACGTTTGCAACATCATAACTCAAATCTTGGAAATTTCGGGCAACATCCTTTCATATAATAGCCAAAGTTTGCGGTGACATATAGATAGCCTTGCTGACATTTGCAAAATCTTCAGCGTTCTCGGCATTATGTCTAACATCGCCAACAGAACCTTAATATTGCTAACTTCTGCGACAGCTCATGAAAAGTTTGTGGTGATATTGCTAGATCTTTTGATGTCTAGGGCGACATTGCAAGCGTTTTCAAAATTTGTGGCAACATTGCTCGCTTTTCTGGTATTTTCAATGGCATTGCTAGCTTCGACAAAGTTCACGGTGACATAGCATGTAGCATCTCTTTTTTTAAAAAAAAACATTAGTTTGGGATGTCACTATGTTTACAGCTAATAAAAACTTTGTAAATAGCAGGGTTCAGAATAGCAGGACTCTACTGTATATCAATCAAAGATTATATTGACATATTTTCTTCAACATTTTCTATTTAGAGCTAAACATACGGTATCTTATTTTCGAGCCAGAACTAAATGCTTACACACTTGTAGGTAGGAGAACTCTGCACCAATATTTCCACAGTACACACTATTTAGAAATTCCAATGCATCTCTCAAGCTACCATCACTCTTGCGCCAACACATCAAATTGGAAAAATCATATTTTCTATCATCTGTTAGTCCATATCTTAAAGGGTCCAATTCTGCTACAGTCCTAAAATAATTTTTGTAAATACAAATTTATATTAAATGGAGTTAGGTACAATTCTTGAATTTGAATTAATGCACAATAAAAAAAGTACCTATGAAATGGGTAAGATTTGTGTATCTGATGCATAGGAATGTACATACAGTGACTCCCTCTTATCCGGACTCCTCGGGATCAACACCAGTCCGGATAACGGGTTTTCCGGTTAAACCAACGTCCGCACAAACTTGTTAGGTATGTTTAATCCAAATATTTGACTTAAATTTAGGAGAGCATTGTATTTAGACACGTGATCACTGGTCTCAAATCTTTCCCACGAGAACAGTCGTTTCAGTACCGCCCACTTCCTGCCAATCTAGTCCGGTTAAACCGATGTCCGGTTAAAAGGTGTCCGGATAAAAGGGAGTCTACTGTAGTGTATATGCACTACTCTTACTTATGTACTTATTCTTATACATACTATTTTTTATTTGATCTACAAAATAATTTCATGTTGCATGAACTAGGTATACTACAATTAATTAGACAATCTTAAAAATGTTGACATCGGCAATTTTTACAAACTTGAATTCATCTTGTTCAAATCAGGAATATAACTTTGTGTTTAACATGTTTACAATGATGCCCACTCTGATCTATGCTTCTGTTAAAGAATATTTGGCCATAGATATTAAAATAGTATGAGTTTTCTATAGTAAAATTAACTGACAGTCCTAAACTTACTTAAAAAGGTTTAAATACCTGCTATCAAGCAATCCATTTAATTGCAGTTGCAACTAGTTTCAACTCCTATGTGGAGTCATCATCAGGCGGTACAAGGACTTCTTCTTTCTTCATATGAAGAGCGTCATATTTAACACGTAAAAATAAATAAACATTTACACACGACACAAAACACGTTACGGACACAAAACATTTACTGATCAGTTACGACAACAGACGACGCTAACCCGACGGAGTTTAAGTCCAGACTGCGGGTGGTCATTGCAGTGGTGTACGTCTGTTATCTTATCACTTCAGGTTAGGTCCTAGTCCTGTCTAACACACTTCCACTCTCCAGTATCCCTATGGCAGTGTCATATATAAAATTGGACGAAAACGTTAGTTGGTCGTTTAACACATTTTCGTGGTCGGATGTTACTGCCTTATAAATCTCAAATTCTTCTAAGGTGTTTAATTTAAATCTGTCTCTTGAGAAATGTAAAATATTCATGTTGTTACTAATGCTGGTATAATGGTGGCCTTGAGAAATTAAATGTTCTGCAAAAGATGAAGTCTGGTGTACTGTTGACACTTTTGGGAGATGTTCCTTGAAACGTTTTGTAAAGGAGCGTGCCGTCTGGCCGATGTAAAATTTAGTACAATCGGTACAATTGATCTTGTATACGCCGGATCTGTCTAAGGGTTGCGTCAATGAAGGACTGCGCTCTTTTAACAATGCGCCAAGTTTGTTTTCTGTTCTGAAGGAAACTGTAATATTGTTTTTTGTCATAAGATTTTTAAATTTGTTACTCATGAAGGTGCCATATTTTATTTAAATATGGCACCTTCATGAGTAACAATATTACAGTAAATATGACGCTCTTCATATGAAGAAAGAAGAAGTCCTTGTACCGCCTGATGATGACTCCACATAGGAGTTGAAACTAGTTGCAACTGCAATTAAATGGATTGCTTGATAGCAGGTATTTAAACCTTTTTAATATTATTTGGCAATCCGGAGGCTACATCCACAATGAAACTAAAACTTACTTTTTTAATATGTCAATTTACTACACTAAAAGAGGTTTTGGAGGTTAGGATTGACAAGATCATGGCCGTATGCATCTAACTTCTCCACTGTGTCTTTGTAAATATTTATGTATAATCAGTGTTTATATTTGTAAAAATTCTATTCACCCGACAATATCTCAAGTAAAAGATGAAACACAAAAAGTTTAGCTTAGCCTAGGACTGACGATAACGCTCCGGCGTAGAAACCTAGGTCTCCACAATAAATCAATTGGATCATAAGGTAAGCCTTAGATTATAATAACACTAAAAGAAGTATAAAATCAATAAATCTCTATATTACAAGGTTTTCTGAATGGATGGGTAGGCATTTGAGTATATGTCCAATCTACACTACCAATCTACAATCTACACTAAAATTATAAATTCAGGTAAAAAAGATAAATTTATTTACAATGAAAGAAAATTTGTGGCATCCACTTATATTGTAAATTAATTAATTTTGAACTATTCATGATCCTGAATGAATAATTTTAGTGTGGCTGGTAAGTTAATTGCCAGATTTGTGATGTTTACGGCAAGGGCTAAACATAAGTGAAGGACAAAGGAGTGATAAATGAAGGCTGTGTGAGACAGTGGTTTAACTTTAGAAATGTCTGAACCAATGTTTATGAATAGGACAGCAGTGGTACGGCGGTGAAAGGAAATGATACTATTTTTCACAAAATAGAAACTTTACCTACTGCCCATAAATTTGCAATATAACAGGGTGTCCACCAGGCCAAGCAGAAAAAATTCATGAGTAATTCATGAGTTAAAAAAAAATCCATGGTCGTACTTTTCATACTAAAATTTCCAACGTTGTTTTGCACCAACTCCCACAATGCTGTTTTAGCGCTCTAACACACCTCGCTATTTTAGTTATCGGAAAGAGCATTCTCAGTAAAGGGGGAAAAAAATATGATTGCTGTAATATTGTCTGACACAAGTATTCAATTTTTATATACTACTGATTAAATAATCCAAAAATTAAAAACTAATCCTTAAAACTGCAATTTATTAATAACTTCCTAAAAATAGTGATATGTTGATACCAAAATTTATCAAATCTCTGTACAGACACCTGAAAAATAGATTCTTAATACTGATTTTCTATTTTACCAAATTTTCTTAAGGATTACTACACCAACCTCTGGCTTTATGTACTTTCATATTGTATAATTTTGTTAAAATCCATGTTTTAGCCCCTGAGCTGTATAATAACTAAAAATAGGCTTTACCTTCGTCACTGCAGCTCAAAATTCTTGTGGTGTAACTATGTTACGGCCGTTTCGGCATTATAATGCCATCGTCAGACTACAAAAATACAAACTTTAAACTTCAACGACGCTACTTCAGCCGAGTTTGTGTTTTTGTTGTCTGACGATGGCATTATAATGCCGAAACGGCCGTAACATAGTTACACCACAAGAATTTTGAGCTGCAGTGACGAAGGTAAAGCCTGTTTTTAGTATAATTTTGGAGTAATGGGTTGTTTTCCAAGTGGCCTAGAGAAATAATAATGCAGAAATTACAAAAATTGCTTAAATAAATACCACGTTAAAGGTATATATGAAGATATTACAAAAAAATATAAAAAATCTTTCTAAAAAAGTGCCATTTTGAAATTTTTGGTCAAGCCAAACTCGAGGTTAAATTGTAATCATCTAACAAAGTCGTAAAGACACCATCATCGTTTTCTGCGATAACTGAAAAATCCTGAAATCTCACTCAATAACAGAAACATCACCACTGTCTTCCGTGGTCGTGAAAAATCCTGATATTGTTCCAGTGGTAACAGAAACATTATAATTGTATCCCGCGATCACAGTAAAGTTATCATAATCTTCCTCGATCGTAGCTTAATTCAAATAATTTCCCGCAGTCATCATTTAAAGCAATATTTTTGGACATCATCGTCGTCTCCCACGGTCACGGAAAAGTCATCGTCATCTCCCGCTGTCACGGGAACGTCAACGTCGTCTCCTGCGGTCTCGGGAACGTCATCGTCGTCTCCCGCGGTCACGGAAACGTCATCGTCGTTTCCCGCGGTCGCGGCAAAAAATTCCCAGTGAAATACAAAATTCACGCATAATTCCCAGTTTTTTCCTGGTTCAAAAAATCACACATAATTCCCGGTTTTCCCGGATTTCTCGGTCGGTGGACACCCTGTATAATTTATTTAAAAGTATATGTGTGCCAGTGCAACTTCAATCAAATGGAGGTTTGAAACATACCGCTTTCTTGTAGTAAAATCAACAGGGTTAATATTAGCACATTTATGGCCGTGTTCCCTGTAGGCACTGATAAGTTGAAACAGCTGACTCTCTCTCTGTCGACTTGCTATGATTTCTGGATCCACTGTAAATAAGAGTTTGTGTTATATTATCATGGCAATTCAATAATTTATCTTTACTGTGGAAATAAAAATAAAAAATTAAATAAGTACGGTAGGCTACCTGGTTTACATCTTTTTTTATAACTGTATGTATTGTGTGTCCGTAGGCCCAGGGCCGGTTTAACCCATACGCGAACTACGCGGCCGCATATGGCGCCACGAAAAAGTGGCGCCGTGGCGCAAACGGAACAATTTTTTTTAACGTAAACAACGTAATTTTGCTTATTTTTCTCAGAGTTCAAGTATTCAAAGCACCACAGTAAAGGCATTTATTCTGTTTGTACCAACAGCACTTGAAAAATGGCAAAATGCGTATATTTGTACAGCACTACAACTCAAGGACTCGATGCCATTTGCAGTTTCGATCTGTAGTGAGCTGACGCTCGGCACTCGTCGGCAGTCGGAGTCGGCAGCGTACAGCGCGGCGTCTATGGGTTTCATTTCACGACTCACTCACTAGTCGAAATAAGCAAGCGCGCAGCGCCACTTGTCACAACAAGAAACATACCCCGCCCTTCCCTCCCTTCTGCCTCTGATCCTAGAGCAGAACATTACGTTGTATTGCACTCTTTAGTTGTATACGTTATAAGTATACAGTATCGGTATCGTATTGGCATCGTTTTGATGATATGATTGTTGATGTTGATAAGTGAATGATTACGAGTAATTTAAGTTTAATTTATAATTAGCGCATTAAATAAGAAGAAAGTATAAACTAAATGAATGAGTAAAACATAATACGAGCTGATACTAAGAAAACAATGGCAGAAAAAAATAAACCGTCTAGCAAAGCGTATACGAATTTGGAAGAGGAAGATAAAAATCAAGCCAAATCAATAAGTAGATTTTTGTTTAAATCATCTGGTGGCGAGTCCAGTCAGCCCAAAGAAGTCACGATAGAAGACGGCAATGACGTAGGTATTTATTAATTTATTTTCCAAATAAATATAATAATGCTTGCCAAATAATGCTTGATGAGCATTACGGTCTGTTTTTTTAGCGTGGCCTTGGTTTTGCTAAAGTTTGTATGATGAGTAAAAGTGTAAAAATGTTAAATTTCTGCGAATAATAAACAGTCTTTTATTGCAAGTATTCTTCTAACCTAAACTTATAAAAAAGTGCTTCCCAAAATCATTGGGAAAAAATTCACAAATACGGTTAAGTTGTTCATGGAATTCTAAGTGGCGCTGATTCGGGTGTTCGCTTAACTCTGAAAAATTCCTAGAACCGGCCCTGCGTAGGCCTACTAAGTAATAGCTTTTGGAAAAACCTCAAGTAAAAACAATTTAAGTGGACGGGGAAACTAACAGGCTTAACTATTATCGAGCGGGGTGAGCGAAGCTCTCATACTACACTCCTGCTTTTGTTTTAGAAATACTCCTCCTGAACGGCTGAAGTGATCAGCACAAAATTTAGCACAGACATAGTAACCAACTATGGGAAAGTATAGATCTGAAATGGTACAAATCAGACAACAGGGCTTTTCCCTAAATTAATTTAATCTTTTATAAATTTAACATGGGCCTTATGGGTTAATTGGCTGCCATGACAGTATTTGCAAGATAACAATAAAAAGGTAAACAAAAGTCGTAACATATGTTTATCAATATATGATCTAAACTAGCACATTACAAAATAGAGAACAAAAGGGACGACCAGCATCGGATTGATGCCGTTGAGCATTGTTTGCTACAAAATTAATAATTAATTAGGATTATGAACCATTGGCTTTATTTGCATAACTGCAAGTAGACATCCGATTTACGTGAAGCAAATGTACCATTGACTTTGAATGTGAACTCCGAACTGCAAGTAGTGAACCAAATGTAGCATGACTTTGGTGGATAGGTACTGCAAGGGGACATTCCATTTACTTGAACCAGAGGTGCCATTGAATTTAGATACCTACTGCAAGTAGACATTCCCTTTAAGTTTAACAGATGTAGCATGGACTGTGAGTTCTGCAAGTAGACATGTCATTTACGTGAACTACATTATTTAGCATTGACTTTCCTTATTTAGCCTACCATGCATAGAGGGAGAAAGTAAAAAGTAACCTTACAATAACGAACAAGATAGGCCTATGTGAATTTAAAATAACACATGGCATGTATTGTATAGTCCCACATAAGATCTCATAAAACTTGTAACATTGAAATACTCTACTCACAATTAAAGCCTGTCGAGTCCTTTGGCCTATAACCATAAACTGCGGATCTGTTATGATAATATTTTATGGCATGTGAAAGGGATGGTTGGAAGTGCCAACATTTCTTCCTAATCAATGCATTCATTTTAATTGCTTGTCAGTTGTCACCACAGTATTCAACCTAAAAAACACCAAATAAACTGTCAGATAAAATAAACATAACACATTTTAAATAAAGTCAGAACAATTATTTTGTTCTAAAATAATTAAATAGTTCATCAGTTGGATAATAAATAAATTGTGATTGCTTTGAATAAATTTAGATGGTAAAATTACATGAAATTACCTAAGACTAAAGAAATTTAATTACTGCAGAATTTTGATTAACCCTTTTAAGCGTCATTTATTTTTCTCCATCACCCCGCTACAGTACCTAATTAAATAATTTTTAAATATGACCTTATTTCACTGTCAAAACATTGAACAATTGTAACTTACAACATACAAAATAACAGTTCTGTATTACTCTTGTATGTAATTTCTTTTCTGGGATAAAGACGGATGTATCCGTCCAAAAAACGAATTGATACACAATGTTTATAATCCGTTAATAAACATTACACTGCATTAAAAATGGGTTATTTTGTTTTTGTGGTTGGCAATAGTGGGACGGGTGGGGTCGTCCTGTAATCCAGCTACTAGGAGGTCACGAATTGTGGATTATAGGATTATAATCATGATCATACTATCCTGATAATTAGACCAATTCGTAAATTACAAGGAAAAATGTGGTTCGGATTCCACTATAAACTGTAGGTCCCTTAGTTGCCATTAGCTGTATGGGCTATTAATTAACAGCTGTGTCTAAGGAACATGTCGGCCTTAGTCACTAACAAGACTACAAGATCGCGCCACTCATCCTACACTCATCCTTCACTCATATTTGGGTTAAAATACGCACATAGTGGCGTCCCCATCTTAAATAATTGATTTAATTTAATTGATTTATAATTGTGGATTTATAGGCATGCACTGTGGATGCGATACTCTCTGGTGTGGATTAACGTCCGCACGGGTGAGTACTACGACTATCCGCAGTACTATCCTGATAATTATACCAATTCGTATATACCAAGGCAAAAATGTGGTTCGGATTCCACTATAAACTACCCCTTAGTTGCCATTAGCTGTATGGGCTATTACTTAACAGCTGTGTCAAAGGAATATGTCGGCCTTAGTCACTAACAAGACTACAAGATCGCGCCACTCATCCTACACTCATCTCCATGTACATTTCTTCAAAAAGTATTAAAGTAATAATTGCCACAGCTATTTCGGCTATTTTGCACCACAGAGTGTGCATAAGTAAATATTGCTGTCACTTCACACATGGTTGTTAGTGAGTGATGTTTATATTATTTTGTGTTTTGTACTTTATTTTTATGTTATTGAGCTAAAATTACTCATGCAAACGATCTGAAATTTTAAGATGTTATTGAGATGCTTAATAAAAGTATGTCTGAGAGGGGTTTTATAGTTTTATAGCGGGGACATAGTCTTGGGGGGGGGGGGTATTGAGGACATGGGAGCGGAACTGAGTGGTTTAGATTTACTTCAGAATGACAGTTACATTTTTATGGATAAGAAATAAAACAAGGGAAGGAACAGCCTAAAGTTGACGGATATATCCGTCTGCCACCCACAAGAATAGGCCTACTCAAGATTATTGGCAGTGTTCATATTTTGTGATTATCACTAGGCCGACTGGACCGTGGCCTAGGGCAGCAATGGATTGACGATAAACTTTTTTTTCAGAACAAAAACAATATTTTTTTAAATTATCAATTTGCTGCGATTGCGGGTGGCAATGATAATGGCGTCCCACGGGAGATATTCACAATTTTGCCGTGGTCCCGGGTGACGCTGATGATGTTGACGTGATTGGGTCTATTGCTATCCTTGGTCTATTGATTTTTCTGTGCTATTGTTAAGGACATGGACAAAGCACTTTCATGTAAAGCCTATCAGTGAACTATGCCTATGCTGGATGATTCTATAATTTTACTCATTTCAACACCTTGTGGCCCTAAGGAGAGATAATTGGGGGTAAAAACTGGTTATGGTTTCTGTGGTGATGTGATGTATTAATTGTAATTAAGTTAAATGTGTTGGTAATTGGCTGCTGTGGGTGCTAGGGCCTGGAGGACCCTAGCATGTTGCAATTAAGAACGTGCTGTACTCTACTACCATCTTAAAATGACAATTTAATTGGAAACGTTGTTGGGGAACCAGAGGGCGGAAATCTTTACCCAGACCAGAAGCAGGCCAAGCCAGCTTTGATTACTTATTTTTAACTATTAAACAGAACTATAGCTAACCTTCCAAACTAAACTGCTAATTAGTGTAAAACGGAAATGATGATAAAACAGGTAAATTTCGTTCCCTAACTCGTTACTGAACCAATTTGGACTCATAAGGCGATTCCTGAATGAATTAATACTTAAACTTTCAACGTGGTGATTATTGCATGTCTAGGAATGATTACCTCGTTAAGCGAGGTAATCATTATTTTGGAATTACATTTCTGCGAGTGGGGCGAAAGCCTGCCGTCTTCCCCTTATATTGTTAATCTAGCCTGTCATCCTAGTCTTAGCTCTACTTAATAATTATAGACTCATCCTGATAAAACGAGGGCATGTCGATCTCAGTAAACGGACGATCAGAAAATCCAACGAAGGGAACGAAGACCGGCGACAGACAAGACGGAGGAAAACTCGATTTCGTAGCTCCTTGACGTTTCTCGAAAAAAGGCAAGCGGCAGACCGAAGGAGGCGCGCCGATCGCAAGGCCAGCGATTTAGTTGTGTGGCACTATATAAAATAGTGGCGCTAAGTGTCACAACCTAAAATATAACAAACTGAAATGGCTGCTTTCATAGAACTTGGAAACCTTGGAGATTACTTAACATATCAAAATTTTACATTAAATCATGAAAAAACCAATTTTATTACATTTAAACTCCACAAAGTAGGAGTCAAACAGAACCAATGATAGTGTTTTATCACATATAATTGATCCAAAGTCAAGTACATATTTTCTTAGCCTTTTGAGTATTAAAAATAGCTGTTAAGCACTGTCAACATCAAATTTTTCAATAAAACACTCTTTACAAAAATCTGCAGGGCAGGTCCAGAATTGATGGCCTCTTAAGTCTGTAAATTGTATCCGTGTTGTTTAATAAGTTCAATGCTAAATGATTTTGATGAGATTCTAATTTCGTAATATATCGTTCACTTAAGGTCATGATTCCGTCCTTACTGTAGGCATCTTAAGGTCTTGATGTAGTGTTCTATTGGTGACATACCAAGGTGCATTTGTTATCTTCCTCAGCATTGTCGATTGGTATCTTTGGATAATTTCTATATTATAAGTACTCGCAGAGCCCCATAGTTGCACTCCATATGTCCATATTGGTTTCAATATCGTTTTATATAGGCCTAGCAATAATTTATTTTCCAGACTAAGTTTTGATTTTCTTCCGATGAGCCAATTTAACTGATAAGATTTTAAATTTAGTTGTTGCCGTTTTCTCCAAATGTGTGTTTTCCAAGTTAACTATCTAAATGGATACCTAAGTATTTAACCTCAGTTACTTCGGGAAGTTGGGTGTTGTTTATTTGTGACAGGAGGACAAGAATTTTGATTTAGAGTAAAAGAAATGTGGACGGATTTAGTTTCATTAATTTTGAACCTCCATGTTTTAAACCAATCAGTAATTATGTTCAGATTTTGCTGAAAATTTAGAGAAGCTTGAAATGGATCACGATGAACAGACAAAATTGCAGTATCATCCGCAAATGTAGCAAATATATCAACTCTGGAAGGTCTGCTGTGTAGAGAATATACAAAAACGGCCCGAGGACACTTCCTTGAGGAATCCCAGATTCAATTGGATGTAGGTCAGTGAGGACATCTGGATAACTTATTTAATTTGGAAAGTCCTGTTTTGAAGGTAGGATTTTAAAATGGTAAAAACATTTTCACTTTATATAACAAGCCAACATGCCACACCTTATCGAATGCCTGGCTAACATCCAAGAAGGCAGCTGAGCAAATTTTTTTTAGCCACCTAGGTAACAACAGTTTTTTGACTTACAATCTAGTGGATTACACTCAATTAACTTAATTCTTTTTAATTAAATAACCTTTTACTAGAATGATTTTTTTTAGTGTGTCCATCCGCTAGAAATTTAAGACCTGTGCCCACATCTTGGCATGATAAACCTAAGACCTTCGTTTTCCAGGAGTTAAAACGGTGCACTCACATATTTTTGCGAGATGACTCTGTTAGACGATCACTACAATCACCTTAACTTATACTGGACCATTTCCCGTGGTATCTCATGATGATAAAACTAAGTATGACTATAATCCATTGTGGTAAACGTGTGAAGGTGACGTTGGACAGAGTGAAGCCCGCGTACCGTACCGGTATCTATTGCAAGATCTTACTCCTTCAACACATAAACCCATCCACAATGAACTTTCCAAAAATCCACCCTCCACAGTGTTCCCACTCAAGACCCTACCCTCAAGCCAACCCTAGCCTTAGGCCTACGTGACCCAATCTGGTCGTCCCGTGAAATTCAAAGTGCCCGGACTTCCAGACTCCGCAGGGGGCTAATGTGGTGCTACTACACTGTCAAAGACAATAACCATATGTTTTGTATTTATACATGTTGTTTTATCTTAGCAACCTAGGTAACAACAGTTTTTCTGACTTACCTACAATCTAGTGGATTACACTAAATTAATTCTTTGTAAATTATATAACCTTTTACTAGAATGATTTTTTTTAGTTTGTCTATCCACTAGATATCTCTTTGGTTTACTTAAATACTTAACGCAAAACCAAAGAAATTTGAAGCTTAAAGGTTTTTGTGACCTGTCACTAAATTAAATTGATAAGGCTAGCCGCTTCCGCTTGTTTACCTACTGCAGAAAAAATACACACTTCAAACTTGATTTCGAGAAACTTGAAATAGCTGCCACACATACACTCATTGGTTTCAGATTTAAACCAACATCAACTTACCTTTATCGTTGGTTAGATTAACTAGTTTACAACTTAGGTTAGACCTCAGAACGGTTAGATAAATTATTGTAAACAACTGATAACATCACGCCTACCATGCATGGCATGGGCATGACGGCATGAGTGCATGCATGACTGAGACTGAGACTGACCACTTGACTATTGTTATTGTTGTTGTTGTTGTTGACTGAGACTGACTGACTGACAGTAGTGACAGTGCCCGATCCGTCCACTACCTCCAGTCCCACTAGTCCCAGTGTCCCAGTCCAGTTCATTATTTCTTCTAGCACGGCCACCTATATCTACAGTACCTTACGTTTTTTGGAAAAAGTCCCTTAGTCCCTTTGGGCTCTGCGGCTCTGCCCCAGTGGCTTTTAAAGTGTTCCTGTAAGAACATAATATATTTGATTACATTATGATCAGCTGGATGATTTAATTGCTGTTAATATTTTAGTTGCAATTTAAAAACAAACGTGTGCGACAAAGAGTATTTAACATATTTTTAGATTTAATAGTACCATGATGCGATGTACATCTGCTAATTAGCGATTATAACTTACTAAACATTACTTGTGAGTACAGTATAGTATTCTCATTCCAGTCTATCTACAGCACAGAATGAGAATTAATAATACCATAGATAAAACATACTCCCCTTGTGTTGGTTAGTCTATGATAATACTGTATTCCGAAGTCCCAAGTAATTAATTATTTCACTAATCAGCTGTCAGCTCTTCCGTAGTTCACAGCTCTAGGAAGTGCAGATATTTTACCATTGACTATAAAATTATTTTACCTCTGCCCGATACATAAATTAATTATATTAATCTTACATACATGATGCCTCCGTCCGTAGTCCTTTGCCGTAAGGAATTGGTCAGGTCAAGGTTATTAGAAGAACAAGCTAACTTAAACTAGTTTTTCTCACCGCCAAAAGGTACAGTAGAGTCCACGTTTTTCTCAGTCGTGTGTGTGTGTGTGTGGAATGTTTACGTACTTTTGTCCTCTTGTTATATTGTGTTTGTGTTTGTAAATATATACTCTGGTCTCCCAACCTGCCTCCTCGGTTTTTAACTGCATTTGATTGGGAGATCCAGTGGCTGTGCACAAAAGCGTTAGAAGAAAAAATAAGCTGTTTACAGCTGTGATGTTGGTGGTGGCTGCTGGTGTTTTATCCAGATAGTTTTTTTTTCTGGAGCACTGGAGTTTATACATGGGAGACTTGTAGAGAAAGACTCCAAACATGAGAGACCATCGGATACAAAACGGTGGAATATGAGGTATAGTATATATAGTCCAGGACAAAATCTAATTTATCCATGCAACCAAATTCTTAACCCTTCTAGGTATAAATATTAGCCGATGAGCTAGTTGCATACATGATCAGCACTCAAATACAGTATCGTGTCAAAAGGTGAGTATGTTTAATCTATGGTGATATTCAACTAGTTTGATTTTCCATCCAAGTTAGTTGGGGGACGGAGCGGGACTGCACATGTGACGGCCCCAAAAATTCCCAGACCCATTACATATCAGTTGGGGAGGTTTTTGCTACACCCTTAAGAAACTCTTGTCAGTACCGTCACAAAAGCTTTGCTTTATTTCAAATATAAAAGGAGGGTAATATTGGACTGTTAACCTCCCAACTTTCTGCGTCAGCCAGTTGCCTCACCATGGAATATTCCGTCAGCCGTGGCTCAGCGCTAGTCCAGGCCAATGTTCTCCGAAGTGTTACGCGCATGGCTGGAATTCACTGAGACAGCTCAGCAGGTTGCTCGATGAAATCAGTTAATGCGCAGCTACCAGTTTGCCTAACGCCCTGAGTGACGCGGCAGCACTGTCCGGTGCTTGCACTGACGTCACGCGGCATAGCCGCAACGTGATTGGCTGGTTCCCCTCCTCGCCCATCTCTGGGCTATGGGCAGAGAGTACTCAGTTTCAGTAAATTAGTCTAAATTCTAAATTCAATTCGGTCGGCCATGTAAAGTTCCGTTCTGCGTCACCTTTCCCCATAGCCTCCTCGGGAGGCTATGTTCCCCAATAACTTATTTTATAAAATAGATAAATTATACAGCAAGTCGGAAATTGATTTGCCTTAAGTATAATAAATTATTTATTCGTAGCGCATTTTCGTCGTTTCATTCGGCTACCTGTCACACACAACTTATCTATTCTTTTATTATGTAGCAAAGCTGTATGCATCATGTTAAAGCTTGGTTGCTTTATAAAAAAAAGTAATACCAGAAACAAAAGAACCCTCGGCCGTTTCGAGCCGCGCAGGTTTCAATGGTACGGCCCACCTACCTGCGCGAACCACGTGATCTTTTCGTTTCTGCGCAGGTTGTTTTGTTCGTGGTATATCTATAACTTCCACCCAGATAGAGTATTCTCCCATTCTCCGACTTCCTCGCTGCGTCTGAGGATGAAGGTCCTCTTATATAGAGTTTTGATATCTGCAAAAGGGTAATGAAATGAAATGAAATGAAAAATCATTTATTTATACAGGCAATGTTAGGGCCACATGGCCCTTTCTTACACTTAACCTGAACTTTAAAACATAATATAAATATTTTAACATAATCAGCTTATACAATAAAACAAAACAGAAATCATAGATACAGAAACTTTTATCAAAAATCAGTAAATTTTAAAAATACTTACACACACACACTCACCCACACATACATACAAGTCAGCGACCGCTATGCGCACAGGCCCCTACGACAAACCTACCATGGCCATACGTTCAAAATAGAGATTTTTTAGTGCTGCCACAGAAGAACGTTTTTTTAAAACTATCAAACCTCTGAAGTCAACCACTTCCTTAGTCCTCTCAATGTAGCTTTGAAGTGTTGCCACAGTTGTTCCAATCATGCTGAGAGCCTGGTGAGAGATGCAGTAGTGGCTGAAACCACAGAGTGTGCTGAGGACACCACTCTTTAACTATTAGTCTATAATTATAGTTAAAAAATTATTAATATATGTCTATACACATTCTGAATTGCTTTTGTATGTACACTGGACAAAGTCATTTATAAAGAGTGTAGTTTTCTTTTTATTTACAAGGTTCCGTACAGATATTTAACTAATGAACAATAACGCATCTTGTCTAAAAAGAGCTTCATCCACCTTCCTTCAGCTTGAACTGGTAATGAATTTATATAATAATCTATATCTATAGAAGAGGAAGAATGTATGCATGTATGTATATACCTTATGGACTACGAAACTGCTCGACAGATTGTAATAATCTAAATATAAACCCAATATAATGTTATAAAAAGGTATATCCTTTTTATTATTAAATGGCAAATACCACACAAGTTTGTCTATTAAAAACACTGTTCTTGCTTGCAGGGGCGGACTGGGTACTCTATTAGGGCGTAAACCTTGACCAGCCCGAAGGCGCCAACCGGGGGGTCTGGGGGGTATGGAATACCCCCCTGTACAGAGGGGGGTCCGGGAAATTTTGTACAAATTATACCTGTAAACTGGCATTTTTAGGCAATCTAGAGGCATTAACAGTGGAAAATCAGAAATCTGATAACTGACACTATTGGTGCTAAATGTGCAATGTTTGGTTTACAAAATTTAGACTATTTACCCACCCGACTTGGTGCTATTCTGACAGTAAATATCCTAACAAAAATAAAAATACAAATGATTTTCTTAGGGTCTTTCGTATTATATTTGTGTATTTTCTTTATTTTCCCTTGCATGACTTGGCTGCATGCATACAATATAAATCATTTGCTTCCTGTTTACAACCTGAACTTGCAACTGTTGTATTTTTTGGCACTGTAAATAACAGAAGTTATATATTTTAGATTTCTATGAAATTATTTTAACACAAACAATATGCTTTCACTGTGAACAAAACCAATTTATATTGACTTAAACTTTTTTAGCATTACATTAAGTCAAAACTGTAACCCTAAAGTAGGCCTACCTAACCTATTTCTACAAACGAAATAGCCTAGAGAGAACTACGAAGGTATTTTGAGCTGGCTATCTGTAAGTAAAATAGGAAAGTTGACCAAATTAGTGCCATAGTGCATATTGAAATAATTAATTAATAGGCGGTAGCCACATACGGTATTAAAATATTGTTTACTGTTTAACCTTTACTGTGTAATGGTTAAGTTAACAAATACACTGTCACTAAATCTAATTTAAATTTTGTAAAAGTAGTGATTCTACAATACTGCTTTCGTTCATGTTTCCTGTGTAGGTAAATGATATAAAAATAAATTGAAGCTTTCGACACAGAGACACAAATCAGACACTCACTAAAGAGAGACACGTTTTAATTGGCAGCTCACACACTTTATTTATTTATTACATGCACGGCAAACGCCATTTTACAAGAGAGTTGAGTTGACATTGATAAAAATTAAATATGACTTAAAGTGAAATAGTTATAGTGTGAGAAATAATTAAATATTATAACAAATATGAATAATATTAAATTATCTTCACTGGTTGTTTACCACAGACGACATTGTGACACCGACCGATGTCGGATGCAGTCGCAGTGCAGTTTTTTTTGGGTTCGGCGTAAAATGACGCGGGAAGAGGACAGCTGTTTTTAAGTACCTCAGACCACAGAGTAAAGTGCCTTCCACTCGCCCCACTCGGAGTAGGCCTACACGTACGAGAGAGAAGAGCTGCTTTGCTCTCGCTTGTCGACAGTGTCTATTCAGGTCTCACACCCGACTTTATGTTTTGCTATTCACTGCTGAAACTTTTACTCTAAGTTTTTCCTCTTGCTTTCTAAAAACACATCTCGTCTCATTTTTTAAAATTTTTTAAGAATTTTTCCTTTAACGAGGGCGCAAATATTGGAATGTTGAGAAGGCGTATCGGCCCACCGGCCGGTGGGCCGGCGGGCCAGTCCGCCCCTGCTTGCTTGGAGAAAGTTTGCCTCTTTTAAAATCAATGCACCTATAGTCTGCAGCAGTGTTTTAACATTTCAATTGTAAATACTTGTATATATTGAGGGTTTGTCATAAAAGAAATATGGGCAAATTTAAATAATAATATATGAAATCATGTAAAACTAATTGAGATAGTAAAATGTGTAAATTAAAAATAGGTACAGCTTTGATTTAGAGATTTAACAAATACAGTAGCCATAGTTTTGCTATCTGTAATCCTTCATAGGCCACTCTTTAGACTCCTTGCCATTAAAAAGTGCTTTGACCTGCATGAGAATGGTGCACTATCGGCCAATATAGCGTTCCAAAGACCAACTGTTAATGGTTTCTCGCTTTTTTCACTTGAATTGTTTCTTGCTTTTTTCACTTAAATTGTCTCTCGCTCAGTTACTGATAAAGTCCACTTTTGTCTTTTATTATTCTTCAATATTCCGGTTTACAATACTGTACAATTCCTTCCTTCAACAAAGAGTATAACTAGGAGAAAAATAAGATGAACAGGGCTCAGTGTATTGTTTTTCATCTACGTCGGCTGACAGTAGTAGTTTAAGTGAATCGAGCTCCATCACAACCAAGCAGGATAGTTTGAGTCTAAACCAAAGTAGTGTTTCTTACTCATCCACTTCTGGTTAACTACAACCCCCACAGAATGGTTAATCTCCTCATAGTATTCAAAAACGTTGAATAAGAAAATGGACCAAGTATGAATCATGATCTGTGATTCTTTTCTTTTGGTAGAGGGTCAATCCCTGTTGAATGGCCTACAGTTGCAAGTTGACAGACGTGTTCATGAAGAAAAGTTATTTGACTTAAAAAATGTACGCAAGAGGCTTAGGAGTTACCTAAAAGCCGTACACACTTTCTAAATGGAGGCAGCAGCGGGTGTTCATCAGTTTTCAAGACAGTGATTGAATTTTTTAAACATTTTTTTTGTCTTTTTACGCCAGTGGCATATTTAACGTTTTTTTAAGGGAATGGTCCGAACCCTGGTCTTGTTACTACCTAATTTGAGGAAACTATGCTTGCTGATAGGTGTGTTGTTGACTTTTAGGGCTGACATTAGTCTCGAAGTTAGTCTCAGATTGAAGCTAGCTTGCATGGCTATGACAGGAGCACAATCGAGACTTTTATTAAAGGACAACCCATGAAGTTTGTGTAAGATGTACTTAAAATGCAAACTCACAAAAAGTAGTTTTGGTCTTCTCTATGTCAGTTTTTATAATTTTAATTTTAATCAAGAGGTAATAGGGTAAATAAAGATGACAAATGTTTATTGCAATGCAATTTGTTTAAGGACAAGAAAAATAAAATTTGATTGGGCATTTCTAGATACAGTATGTACAAAATTAAAAGAATACTCCAGGCTTTAATAATTATACAATATTAAACAGAGTATATTACAAAGCTGTACAGTGACAACTTCTTCAGGTTAGCTTGTGAGGTTTCCTAAAACAAAACAATAAAACATATATTATATTAAGCTTGCAATCAATAAGCACTTTTCTTTAAATTAAAGAAAATTAGCCTATACAATGCTGCAAAAATAGGGAGATAAATTTGTTTCTCTTTGTCTTGATGGATGTAAACATTGCAACATTCAATAAATATTTTACAAAAGCCATCTATTTTTTATTGTAAACCGGGTTTAAAACACCTGTAGGTTCTTTAAAACAAAAGGCAGTTTCTGACAACAACAAACAAACAATATATGACAGTTTTAACACAAACCAAATACCTTGAAAATGAATGTCATGCGACAAATATCTTTAGCTAACTGAATATATTTTATGTTCAATGATTTTAGTATAAAATAACAATTTTATAGATCTTTGAGGCAAAGTCTTAAAATGAAATTGAGGGCTTCTTTCGTCACTGATTAACCCTTGAGTGGTGTTTTGATTTTTAACAGTGGTGTCTTTTTTTTTTTGTTAGTGTCTCGGTCTGTGAGACCGTTTTAAATTTTTGTAAAATTTTTTTGTTTATAACTATAATCATGATAAAACTGTGTAAAATTATTCCTCCTATATATGTTTACATTTTTATGGGGTTTATCGTGAACCTGTGAGTGTTGGTAAAATATTTTTGAAAAAATTAATACATTTATCAAAAGTTAATAAGTAAAACTTTTTCAAAAATGCTGTTTTTTTTTTAAATTACTAAAGCCTTCACTGGTATATTATGAAAGTTTATGGACCGGTTCATATTCAAAAACATAAACCATCAAAATTCTGTATAATTTTACCGTTTGAATGAGACTTCAAATAATGCCTATTTTACCCATGGAGTAATGGCGACTTTGATTAGCCTAAACCTTTGGTGTCTTTGGACTGTGAGACCGTTTTCGTTTTAGTATTTTATAAATATTTCATGTATATAACTATGGGATTACATAAACTATGTTAAATTATTAAATTATATAATTTTACATTATATATAGTACTATTATTATTCATTTTAGGTCTTAGGTCTGTTGGACCAATCACACCCTAGGTGTCTTCGGTATAGGGGACCGTATTACACAATTGCAGATGAATCTTTAACCACAAAATTACGCCCTCGCGTCTGGTGGTGGACTGAGTCGAGGAAGGAATGTTGTAGGAAACACCCTAGGGGAGAGCAGGAACTTGAAAATATAACGTCATCGAATTCACAGACCGAAGACACCACTCTAGGGTTAAAAGTAAAATAATACCACACCATTAAATACTACCCATACCAGTTTATATTTTTATTATCAATGGTGCTCTTCACTTTGCGGTAAAACATAAATAAGAGTACTTTTGCGTTACCAACAGACATGCAAACATACAGAAAGGAAGACAGAATTAAACTAGGGCCCTATTGCGCTTTTTGCCTGAAATGGAAAAAAATACTATGCTAACCCAGACAATGTACAGATAAAAATTTAACTTTTTACAGTATAACCTCGATATAACAAACCTCAATATAACGTATTCCAAAATATAACTTTTTTTTATCCGCTACAGCTTTCGACAATGTATATTTACCTCTACATAACAAACAAACCATATCAACAACCTTGATTTAACAAATTTTTTATGATCCCTGCTAATATAAGTCATCTGAATATAACAAATTTATTTATTATTGTCTGAACCCATGGTGGAAGGAAAATACATAGGCTAGGTGTGCTATTCCCGTCATATGCTGAAGTCACTCAGATTGCAAACACCATTTTACCATTTAGAAAAATTATAAAAACAATAACAATTAAATCAAAACAAATATATATATATATATTTATGTGGCAATACATCAGCTGATTTTTTGTTTGCAATCTGGGTGACATCGGCAAATGACGGGAATAACACACCTACGTATTTTCCTTCCACCATGGTCTGAACCTCTATATAGCGAATGTTGTTAAATATATTGAATATTCCCACTAGCATTGGAAAAAAATGTAACCTCTACTTAACCAATTGACAGCGACTTTCCCTCGATAGAACGAACCCCTACATTATTGTTTTTAAAACATTATAGTTCCTTTGGTGAAAATGAAATAGAAGAATTACATCAACACTTGCGCTGAGAATCGTCTGCTCTGTTTTACACTTCTGTCGGTTGTGTGCTTTGCAGGGTTGCCACCTTTGATAGGAAAAAATCGGGACGTGACCCTCCCCCCCCAACCAGGTATAACGGACCGAAGTCTTGAATGTCCTTACAGAATCGGGAGGAGTGGCAACCCTGGTGCTAAGTTACAACACATATCATTAGCTGGACGTCATAATACTTTGTAAACTGTGATTGAGCCATTAGTAACCATGGTAACTTAAGTAGGCTGTGATTGGGCGATGAGTAACTACTTTAAGGAAAATTGTCGAGCTTGTGGACAAAGAGAAACCTAAGAAAAAATAGAAGAACAAAGAGAAAAATAAAAACTGTGTTTTTATTTTATTATTTTTACAAGGGTTTTTATTATCATAAAATATAATCTTAAAAATGTTCATGGCTGATGTATTATTTTTATTATTTTCTATATTATTTGTTTTCAACTAAGGAAACACCAATGCTAGTTATTGTTATCAAATCGAAATTCCTTTGTTGTGATACAACACAACACGTACCGGTAGCCTACCAGCCTATTACGAGCACAAGCTAGCGTATCACTTACAAAACTTTCCACTATTTTATTATTTACGTAATTTATTGCTATACAGTGTTTGGCTAGTTTTTAGGCGAGTTAGATGAAGCTGTGATTTTAAATATAAAATTTTGTATAACTAAAACAAGGTTTAAAGACTAGAAGTGTCATGATTGCGCCATATCAATGATTGTGCATGTAATATTGTATTTTGTTGATAAAAAATGCAAATTGTGACATTAACGGCTGTTTACACAGCATTGTAGCTTATTCTATGTAATTGTGTTTTAATGAGGTCAAAACTTGACCTATATGGACCGATGCTGTTTTGTGAACCGAGACATAGCAAAATTCCTGCAACCTAACCTCAATATAACGACCAATAACAAAATCCTTGATATAACATATATTCAGTTTGGTCCCTTAAGATTTGTTTTACATAGGTTAGTTGTGTTTATATAAATACATCGTATTTTGAGTATTAATATTGCAACTTATTTTGACTAGTTTATTTCCATTTTAAAATTCAAGACTAATTCCAGATTTTTCAATACTAGTTTTTTTTCGACAATTAGTGATGTATCGATCGCAAATTGTATCAATTCTCGGTTCTTGAAACGATTTTTATAGTTTAACCAAATTTTCTAAATAATTTGGTTATACTACATCAACCCTTGACTTTATGTCAAAAGAAAATGCAACAATGAAACCCTTCTCAACAAAGTAAATAACTATCACATCAAATGTAAATAAAGATCTAACGACAAAAATACCATTTGATTATAACTACAGGTGCGCCAGGCTGAAATTTTCAATCAAGCAAAACTAGAGGTAATAATGTGATAATCTGCGGTCGTGGAGACATCATGGTCGACTTCGGGGATTACTGCGAAATCCGGAATATCTTCCCCAGTCACGGAAACATCATCACGATCTGTCACGGAATCCTGAATATCAATAGAATAGACATCATTGTCTCCCACGGTCACAGAAACGTTACCAACGACTCCCGTGATCGTGGCAAAATAATGAATATCTCATGCGGTCGTAAAAACGTAATCATCATCTAGCGTGATCGCGGCAAAATCATGAATATATTCCGTGGTCAAGAAAACGTAGTCGTCATCTAGGGCGTTCGCGGCAAAATTCGGTTTACCTCCCGCGGCCGTATAGCAGGGTTGCCACCAAAGTGAGATAATAAAATTCATGCATAATTCAAGGTTTTCATTGGTAGTTTTGAAAAATTCATGGGGTATATGCTCGCACAATTTCACCATAAAAGAGTATTGCCTAGTTCAGAATTGTACATTAATTTATCGACAATATATAGTTTTGTGTGCTACTATAAAATAAAACACATTTCATGCGTTTATTTTAGAGTGAAAAATAAGAATTTAATAAAATTTATCCAGTCTAAAAAAAGTAAAATCACAGATGAAAAAGGATATTTAATAAAAATCTTGTGTGTGATAATACAATGTAATTCTTAAAAAAAATTGAAACATCTGATTTAACAACATCATAACTTAGGCCTAATGATAAATTCAAACGTTAGAAGAAATAATAAATAAATAATAAGTCGGATTGGTAGTTAGGTATAGGCCTAACCTAAAAAACATTGCATCCAAACATAAAAGGTTTAACTTAGTTAATCCAGCAATGGCCTAGAACTTTACTGTCTAAACATCAAATTAAGATAATAGGCATAACGCATAATTAAGATAATAGGCATAATAAAAACAAATGTTAAGAACATGATCAAGAAACGGTTAACTTAGTAATGGGCCATATCTAGGCCTACTAAAACGCACATGCAATCTATTACTTTATACTGTAACACAGTAGGCTAGCCTACATTGTAATCCAAAGCTGAATCTAGGCTAAGTTAGGCCTGAACCAACTTTTATTTATTGAGAAGATTAAAGGTTACCGACTGACTGATAAAAACACTCTAAAAAGGTAATATTATGTAAATAAATATTTAGTTAAATAGTTAAATATTAGTGGATTAGTTAAATGTAAGTTTAAACATAGGCTAACTTTTAAGTAATAAAAAAATAATTAATTACATTACAGAAAAGGTTAAAATAAACTTAGTTTAGAAGGATGTTTCTTCCGATTGGATCAGTTTGTATATTATCATTTGCCTACACAGGTTTAAATCACAGTTAAAACAATTATTTAATTAAATTTACATCTCATTAGTTAGATTCGTATTGACTGAAAACACCTATGCTTCTAACAAAACATTTACATTTACCTTCCTCAGAACGAAATCACCATTTTTCAGCACAACATTGACTTCTTGCAACTTAGGCCTAAATAAATAAACTTAAACTCA